GAGTTTAAAAGATCCAGTATGACAAGAGGTATTTTGAGATATAAGTTATAAGTTTGATATTGAAATGATACAATTTTCAATTATTAAAAGAACGAGAATGGGTGATTATTCTTTGAACAAATACGTAAGGGTTATATGAAAAGATTGTGTGTATAGTAATACATACAAGGATTAAGAAATGAGCAAAAGCTTGATTTATGTGCAAAGCACATAGAGAATGATGGAAAAGATCAATTGATTCATAATAGTGAGGATTAAGGATTTGGGGTTGTTGTCTATATAATGAATAATATTATATGGACTTATAAAGATGTGTATGTATATGAAGATTTGAGTTTGGGGAAATTGGTAAGTTTGCTAGCGGTAACAGGAAAGATTAAGAAAGGGAAGCAACATGAAAATATTAGAAGGCATGATATTATAAAGGTATGCAGTGAAAATTCGAGGACGAATTTTCTTAAAAGAAGGGGAGATTTGTAACATCCCAAATCAGGGTCAGTGACTAAATTGCAAATTTTGAAAACTATATGCTCGGTTTCGAAACAAGTTAAAAGTTTAAGGATTTAAATAGAAAAATTTCAGTGTTAGATTAAATGGTAATTTTTGGAAAGTTTGAAGGGTATAATGGTAATTCCATAAGAAAGATTTTTATTTCTCCTTTATATAGGAGATGGCACGTGGAAAGGGATGAAAAATAGAAAAGTCTGGAGACTTTGGTTCAACCTTCTTCTTCTTCTCTTCCCGTAAACTTCATGGAAAAGATTCAGAGCCTGAACGAGTTCCGGAATCATTGTCAAGTAAGATCGATAAAAGGGAAAGATAAGAGATTTGTATTGACTAGTGAGGCCAGGTGAGTGCATACTAGTAACATGTAGTGTTTAATGGAAATAAGACTTGCGATGAGTCCATTTCCTAGAGTAATATGCATGAAGTCATGAACATGATTATGTGTTTGTTATGATTATATGTGATTATATGTATTACATTAATTGTATGTATGCATGACTAAAGATATTGATATGCTTTATATATATATATTATATGATTTATGTAAAACACTATTATGTAATAATAGAATAACATGAAATAAATTGTATGATAAAGAAATAAAGACTGAAATAAATATGTGAAATAAGCTACAAGTTAATGAATCATTGACATATATATATATATATATACGAATATAAGATAACCAAGTATAAGTCATATTATATGGTATAAGTGATTACATGAGAAATGTTAAGAGACTCTACGAGGATAGTATAAATTTGAGGGCATAAACATAAGTTTTATAGGGAAGATTTATATACTTAAAGGAAACTACAGTTTATGAATTATAAAGTGAAGAATTACAAAACTTTATGAAAGAGTATTATAGAAGTCATGGGAAATTGAATTAAATAAATAGATAAAACTAGTATATAGATGATTTATGTGAGTGGAAGGGAAAGTGAAATATGATAAGTATAAACTATGTATAGGATAGAATAAGACTATTTGAACTTGTAGTATAAACGTTATAAAGGAAGACTTAGGTAAACTCATTATATGATACAATTATAGAGCATTGCTATGCAAATTATATTAAAGAGTATATATGAGTATATGAGTAAGTTTATAGGTTATTGATAGGACATATAAGGTTATATAAATGTATGATAATATGAAAAAGTGAACTAAGTTTAATGATGTTGAACCGTATGCGTAGAAGTTATGTGATGATAAGTAACATGATTACAAGATATGATACTTGACATGAGATATATGAAAGAGAAAGCATATGTCATATGAAATATTATATGATTATGTGATTATATGGAAAAGAATACAATTATATGTGATAAGCTTTGTGACATGCGAATCATATGAAAATGTTCTACGCATAAGTGAATCATGTGTCTAAATGTATATGTGATATGTGATTTATATGACAATGAGCTATGTGAAAGAACTATGAGACTATGTGTACATGTGAATGTATGTTAACATAAATATTAATGCCCATGTTATGGGTCTTGAGAGCTTTGGGGTATAGTTGGCATGCCAAGAGTCGAGGGTCTACGCGGTCCTTCGGGATATATATATATTCTGTGGAACATGTGTGAAGTCTTGTGAGACACATACTTGATCCCTAGTTTATGTATATGATTCTTAAAGAATGATATGTGGTCCTTATGGACATTATTATATGGCACTACAGTGCAATTCTACGCGACACTCTGGTGCAATTCTATGTGGCACTTCGGTGCAATTATACGAGCTGTGGTGACAACATTAGTGCACAACCTCTATAGACTCACATATCTATGGTTCTCACATGTGTACATGGGCTAATAAAGGAAATAATATAAAAGAACTTTGCATGATAGTATGTGATTGGTTTGTAATCTTTATGGTGTGAAGTGATATATATGATATGATGATGTGTATATAGCTTGGTTAAGAGGAATTGATGCAAGAACATATGACAAAAAGATAAAGAACGAAAATAAGACTAATAAAGAGATAATAATAAATACCTTACATATGACTTACATGTTTTGTGCTATGAAACCTGTTATAAGAATATGTGAATGATGTGTGTGTACAAGTGGATAGTGGTTGTATGACATAATGTAGGATTTTGTATGATATAATAAGTATAGATTATGAATGCATTAGTAGTGGTCATATGTTTTTATGCCTCACTAAGTCATCGACTTAGCGTGTGAGTGTTTCACACGTAGGTTCCGGAAAGCTAGAAGAAAAGTAAAGAGGAGCAAGATCGGTCAGTTATTTCTTACCGAAGATCAGATCAGAAAGATGTTTTGAATTAGATGTATTCTGTATATTGAATATAGTTGGCATGTACTAATTGATTGAGTTAAACAAACCGTTGTGATTTTAATGAAAGTTTTATATTTTCTCGAGTTTTGTCATGAGTCAAAGTTTGAAAAGTCAATGTGACACCTCGGACTCGTATCCGGGTCGGGTACGGGTTGGGGTGTTACAAAACATGCAACGAATATGGTTTGACTATCAAATGCAAGAAAGAAAAGCAATGTCTTAACGGTTCTACCAGAAAAAATAAAAGATTCTTTAAAGATTTCAGCAAAAGATATTTCATAACATCATCATTCCCAAGAAGAAAAAGAAAGTGGGGATATTTGAGAAAGAAACGAACTCCAGGAGTTAAATCATCCAAGTGCTATATTTGTGGACAAAAAGGACATTTTACAAAAAATTATCGTATGAACAAGAAAAGTTAAAAAATGATCCAACAAATCTAAGAGAAGACAAGGATCAAGATTAAAGAAGATGATGATGTGGAATCCCTCTTTTCTATTGAAGATGAGCCTACTTATCAGTCTTTATTTGCTATCCAAAGTATAGACCCTGATAACCCTAAATCAAAAACAATTTGGTCCTCTGAAAATAAAAGAGTTTATATGCTTCAAAGCAAGATTAGTCCAGCAATGACATCTATTGTTCCCGTTCTACATATTCCAACATCTATTTATCATGGAAAGTATGAGAAACCAATTCCAGTAATCACTTTCATTGATATTGAAGCTACAGAAACAATTATGAATCGAGAAATACTTCCCCCAGATTAGTGGAGACCTCATACCAGATACTTTAATTTTTGCAACTCATCTCATCAGCAAACTAATTACTATCCAATTTTTCCAGGATGTGCTATTACAGTATTGAGATCACAAATGTAAGGGAAAGATTTGGTTGTAGGCTTTGATCTCTACACAAAAGCCAAACATATGAGAATTCTACCTAATGGTCTTAAGTATAAACATATGTTTAAGACATTCGTGCAAATCTCCAGATTGTACTTAATGAAGGCCAAAAAGGTGATCTCATATGTTATTGAAGAACTCAAGAAGAGAGTTTGTGTATAATCACATGATGACTTTTTTTCTAAATGTGATCATCTATTATGGAAGAATTCATAGTTTTTCATTCAGTTTCCATTCAAGAAAAGTGAAGATATAAATCCAACAAAGGCCAAGTCACTCAGGAATGAATCCTGAACATCAAAAGCTTGCAGAAACAGAAGCAAATAACTTCTGCAACAAGAGTTGATTGAGCCTTCAGACTCTCAACGGGCTTATGAAGCTTTTTATGTCAATAAAAGATCAGAACAAACAAGAGGAAAGCTCATACTCGTAATTATAGCCTTTCAATCATTTCCTCCAAGATGATAAATTTCCTCTACCCAACAGAATTGCATTGTTCTCCAGCCAAAGCCCAAATATTTTTCAAAGTTTGATCTTAAAGAAAAATTTTGACAATTGGGTATAGATCTTGTAGAAAGGTCCAAAATAGGATTATGTATTCCAAATCATTACTGGAAGGTTTTGCGACAACATCATCATTATTCCAGAAGGCAATGATTATGATTTTTTAGCCAAACATGAAAAATGCTCTTGTTTACATTGATGATATTCTCCTTTACAGTCTAGATGAAGAATCTCATTCTAAATTACTAGACCAGTTTAAACAATTGATTCTATAGTATGAGATTATGTTATATTAAAGAAAGATAAAGATTTGCCAACATGAGATAAATTTTTTGGGAATACATCTTAAAGATGGGTGATATCATCGAGGACCATATATTGCCCAAGAGTTACTAAAATTTCTAGAAGAAAATCTCACAAAAAAGCAAGTTCTCCAACTCTTAGGGATAGTAAATTAATTAAGAGATTTTATTCCAAAAATTTCTAAGTATACTAATCCTTCAAGAAAAATACTAAAAAAATGACTCTTCTCATTGGAAAAAGTTCAGACCAAAGCTATCAAAGTGTTGAAAGAAAAATTACAACAATTATCACCATTGCAGATCCCTTCAGAAGGAAAAAGAATTCTCCAGATAGATTCAAGTGATAATTATTTGGGAGAAATTATTTTTGAAGAAAAAGATGGAAAGAGATACGTGTGTGGATATAAAAGTGGAAGATTCTCTGATGTAGAAATCCACTATCATTTAACGGTGAAGAAAAGAATATCTAAATTTGAGTTTCATTTAATTAGCCATCACTTTTTGGTTGAACCTTCCCACAAATGTTGAAGTTCAAGCAGTAATTCCACATCCACAGCTACTCAGATGGGCATAATGGTTCTCAAAATACTCATTTGACTGCAATAATATCAAAGCTAAAACTAATGTTCTGGCAGATTTATTATCCCGACCCTTTCAAAAATAGATTCACAAGATAATGCTGTTTATAGCTTCATCCTCATCATCCTCAAATCCAACAAAGAGACCAAAAGCTTACCCTTCTGAATCAATCTTTCATGTGCCTACGAACCTTAACTCAGAGTTTCCTCCTGAAATATACAGATTGGTAATAGAAAACAAGTTTCATTAAAAAATGAAAGACATGATTTTTGAATACCAGTTAGATATTTTCAGAAATTATAGAGGGTTAATCCTGAAACCTCATGGGCTACATCCTGAATATCCTTTTATCCATCCCCTTCACTTCGAATTTTCTAAAGTCCCAGATGAACTAAAATGGTTATTATGGTATTTTACCCATATACTCCATGTAGCCATTCAGTTTGTATTACAAGACCTTTAGTATTTCCTTGATAAGGCCATAAGAGGATTAATCTAACCAAAATTAAAGAACCTTTTCACCATTTTTCAATGGTTTTATCCTCTACATTAATGGCTGGATATGATTAATAAAGAAGCTCAGAGAACTCGTGGATGATGCGTAGTGATTATTTTCTGTAAGCCACATTATTTCCTATAACATGGAGCATAAAAACAATTAGGATAATTTCCTACCTCATGGATTCACCGTATCTACCATGATGATGTTAGAAAGCTGGATACTCAATATAGAGACCTACAGAAATATTTATGCCAACTAAACAGGCAGATTCTATTAGAGATATGGCCACCACCATATGTTGATGCACCATGGGACTTATGGCCCTCAAATTCGACACTCTTGACACCTTACAACAAAGCAATAATGAACGCATCACATGAATATCAAGAAAATATACATGATCCGTCAGAATGGTCCCAAGATTGTCCTTGGGTCATCAGTACTGCCAGCAAAGGATGTGAGTCATCAAAAATGACAGAAGAAACAAACTTATCAAGAGTTCCAGCAGGTGAAAAGATAGACATGGACACAGAAGATTGGCATGAAGCTTATCAACTAACACGCTACATGGAAAAAAAAATGAGGACAGAATAATTGAGCTGAATATCACTTCTGATGAATACACCAAATAAGAGGACATGTATGACCTGAAAGATGATCGAAAGTACCGTAGCAGGTATGTTATGCCAAACGGGGCTCTTCCAATGACCAAGGGGCACTACCTGTTAACCACTGTAACCAACCATAATTCCTTTCAAGACTGTCTTCTTACTTAGTGTATCGGTATAAGCTTTCATGGTTTTTGATGCAAACATGATTCATTAAAAAATGACAAGTTGTACAGCATACACCAGGAAAACTCTTTAGAGGTCTATTCATTCATCTCTAAAGACTTAGAAAGAAGAAAATAGGAAATTTAGAAGACCATGGTTTTAAAATACACATGATTTTTATTGAGGGTTAAACTCTATCTTATTACAAACCATAACTTCTCATTTTATAAGCTGAAGGAGAAGAACACGACAAACATTCAAACTTTCCACGTTTACATATTTTACATAGAATTCCAGACAAAGTCTGGTGTTTTTAAAAGTAGAAGACAAAAACATTAAAGTGACTATAATGATATGTCCCTATAGTTGGTGGATTCATCAAAAATGATATTCAGCTCAATTATTCGGTCCTCATTTTCTTGGTTTTTCCTATAGCGTGCTAGCTGATAAGCTTCATGCCAATCTTATGGGTCCATGTCCATCTTTTCACCTACTGGAATCGTTGATGAATTTGTTTCTTCTGCCATCCTTGATGACTCACCTCCTTTGCTGACAGTACTGATGACCCAAGGATAATCTTGGGACCACTCAGACGGATCAAGTAGATTTTTTTGATATTCACGTGCTGCATTCATTAATTCTTTGTAGTAAGGTGTTAAGAGTGTCGGATCTGAGGGCCATAAGTCCCATGGTGCATTAACATCTGGTGGTGGCCAAATCTATAATGAAATCTGTCTGTTTAGCTGGCATAAATATTTCTGCAGCTCTATGTATTGAGCATCCACTGACATCATCAGGGTAGATACGGTGAATCCTTGTCATAGGAAATTATCCTAATTGTTTTGATGCTCTATGTTGTAGGAAATAATGTAGCTTGTAGAAAATAATCACTACGCACCATCCACGAGTTCTTTAAGCTAATTTATTAATCATTTCCAGCCATTGATGTAAAGGATAAAACCATTGAAAATGATGAAAAGGTTCTTTAATTCTGGTTGGATTAATCCTCTTATGGCCTTATCAAGGAAATACTGAAGGTCTTGTAATACAAATTGAATGGCTACATGGTGTATATGGGTAAAATATCATAATAACCATTTTAGTTTATCTGGGACTTCAGTAAATTCGAAGTGAAGGGGATGAATAAAAGGATATTTATGATGTATTTGTATCAGATCACTGCATGTCAACTACAATAACAGATTTCATAATATTAATGTTGTAGGATTTTAGTTCAATGAGATTATTTTAAGTTATGTTATTTGTATTCTCAAAAAAAATATTTTTTATCATTCGAATTTTTGAACAATCTTAAAACTCCATGAATCTCTCAATGAATTTTTATATTTAATTTTGTGAGTTTTAAAGATGTTTGCAAGAAAGAGTCTAAAAGAGGTGAAAGCAGCTTTAGCGTCTATAAAATTTGAGGGGAAACCAGTAAACTTCATTTTATGTCCAGCCTTTATTAACTCTCGACAGCAAGTATATATGAATTATGATTTACCTAGATCAAATGCTTGATAGTAATACTCATCATTATTTATGAGGTTTAACATCTAATACCTGTTAAATTTTATATTAAATAGCCAAATCTCGCTCCAAATATTCATATTACAGAACAATGTAAGCATTGAATCCAACTTTTACTTAGGCCACGACTAGAGTTTTTCCATACACAATACAAAAAATTTACTTACCTTAGATTCAATTTCAGCATAGTACTGACCAAGAGCAGTTTGAAGATTTAGCAGTTCAACATTTTTTGCATGTATTATTCTTATAAAGTTTGCAACCTTCTCATTCATATCATCCATTTTTTACGATTCTTCAGATTCCTAGATAATATTGCCTCCGATGGACATAAAGACAATCCAAGACTAAACTTTAGTTAACAAATTGATTGTTGAGACCAATGAAGAGACTGATTGTAATAGACTCAATGAACGTCCGATAACAGAAAACATGCATACAGATTAAACTGAAAGTACTATATTAGAGGCAATTAACTTCTTAAGTCCTATTGCTACTTGAAAATAATGGGGGTCCAAAATTTTAATTCCAACCAGCTACTTGAAGCATAATTTAGAAAAAGCCACATCACCATTATTAAAGACTATTATTATTGTGAGATGTAAAACTTGAAACTAATAGAATTCACAATGAGAAAATGGAAAGACAGTCGTCAACACACATATACAGTGCAAGGAAAGGATGATAAAAACAATCAACATCATCAGCAGGATTCTGAAACGTTTGGTTAGCACTTTGAACTTGAGCAAAATGTAAGCTAAAGAGGAGAATATAGATAGTGAAAATCTATTACTTTTATCACAAGAGGCTGTACTTGCGGTTGCGGGCATACCATAACAATATCTTGGGGGATCCACCTGTCAAAAGAAGGATTCTAGTTGTTATTTCATATTTTGAATTGCAAATGAATTTATGTACCAAGAAAGGCTACCTGGAGGTCACTGCATAGAAGAGTAATAACATCAGCCAGTATCATATTTGTGTCAGGATCTGAATAACATATTTGAGTAAGTATTTTATTTTTTTAAAGGAGTCATGCAGGTTGCTAAATATAGCCATGGTATCAATCAATGGAAAGTAAGCTGCAGAAATGAATTTCAGGATTTCATCGAAATGAAAATAAGAGTATATCAAAATCTCAAAGAACAGAAAGAAATTCAGCAGTTTTCTCTGTTATGTTCAATCAAAAATACTAAACTAAAGCAAACCACAAATTATTAAGGCAAACTATAAAATAGAATTTTCTTCACTACAATTAAATATCCATATGAATAAATACATGAACTAAGGAACTGAAAAGAGGGCAGCAAACCACTGATACATTCAACATAGTTATAGACAACAAAACCATAATTCTAAAGATAACTGGAAAAAAATGACTGATGGAAATGTGAAGAGACGTGATTAGCCTTACCAACAGGTTTTTATTGAGGGACCAGAATCAATCATCTCTATCAAAACACATCCATTGTTCCTTTGTTTTCATCTTTGCACATAAACCATTTTTTTCCCGATCCATTTTTAAAAGTAGCTCTATATTAACAGTGATTTCAAAAGTAAATCCTAGACACACCCAAATATTAACAGTGAAACCGCAAAATAAGAAAAATCAGGTTACCTCAATTTAGTTATCGACATGAACTGCAGGACTTTGATCCAACGACTTCCCTCCAGTTTATGCTGTTACGAACAACAAAATCATATTACATGATATAAGAACATTTTCATTTTGTAGTAAATTTTATCTGTAATAATGACATCTCATATGAAGAAAATATACCTTAATCGTTTATAAATGGAGGAAAATGGTTGGTACAGAGTCGAGGTTTACAACTAAGATAAAACATACAGAGTTGGAGCGCCACCAACTTTCTTCTTCTTCCTCTCCTTTGTTTAAAAAGGAAATAAAATATGTGTTGTCTTGAAGGTTTTGAAGGATGAGTTTTCTCAGAAGAAGTCGAAAAATGGTGGCTTTTGATTCCATGAAAACATTAGAGGTCAAAAACCAACTTTTGAACAAAGCTTGTGTTTAGATTCCAATTTTGTAACTTTTCCTCCATTTTCTTGTTAGCCAGACATAACCCATTTCAAAATTCCAACTTCGAATTCTCAAAAACCAAAATTTAACATGGGAAAGAAATTAGCTAAACAGAAAACATAATGCAAAACACAAAAATGCTTATGCCTGAAAACAAAATTGCAGGATACAGCTAAGTAAACATCAAATACAAAAGCATTAAATTAAAAATTCAAGAATCAATTATAAATTTTCAAAAAGATGAATCAGATGCATAAATGCAAACAACATGGAAACATGGGATATATATCAAATGTATAATCACTAAGTTGCAATGACTACGAAGAAGGGGAAATCTAAGGTAAGATAAGGATACTTAGAATTCAGTAGAATCCCAAAATCCCATACACGCTAATAACTTCCAAAATAAAATCCCAAATCTTTTCTGGTTATACTTTCTTATCATACACTAAATTATAAACATCTTGCTAAATTTAACATATAATACTACTTGATAAAGCGAAGAATAATCAGTTTGGGGCATTGATTCTTTAGAAAAAAAAGAAGAAAAAAAACAGCGACAATGGGAAATGTAATGAACCACAAGAAGTAGCTAAGACATTAACAAAAAAGAGACTGTAAATACTTCATACCATATTATCGTAACCTTGGATCAACCGCGAATAATCAACAGCACCATTTTTCCCCTTCTTGGATTTACCCTCTCTCGCCCCATGCCTCTCAGACCTCAATGACTCACGCAGCGACGAGCAGCACCAGTTTTGCGTGGATGGAAAAGATGAAAAAGAGGAAAGGGATTTGAAAAATAGATGTAATGGCGAGAAAAAAAAAGGCTTTCATAAGTGAAAAAGAAACTATGTTCTGCGGAGATGGGCAAGAGGAAAAAGGGAATCGTGGGAACAGAGGAAAAAGGGAATCGTGGGAACAGATGGAAAAGGGGAATGGGATTTGAACAATTAAAATTATCAAATATTGCGGCGTTTGTTGACAAAAATGCCACCTTTATCATTTTATAGCGGTGTTTTCAAAAAACGCTGCTAAAGTACATGTTTTTGCAGCGTTTGTGTAAAAATGCCGCTACAGTCTAATATTTTGCGGCGTTTGTTTGAAAAAACGCCACTATAGATGAACCCTATTGTGGCTTTTTTTATCAAAATGCCGCTAAAGTACTAATCTGTTGTGGCGTTTGTCTAAAAACGCCACTATAGATGGACCTATTACGGCTTTTGTATAAAAACGCCGCTAAAGTACTATTCTATTGCGGCGTTTATATAAAAACGCCGCTAAAGTACTACTCTATTGCGGCGTTTATTTAAAAAACGACGCTAAAGTATCATTTTATGGCGTTTGGATAGTAAACGACGCTATATGTTTAAGTATCATCTTCCTTGATATTTCCCATCTCTTTTAGCTTATATAACATCATATCAGCGGCCCTGTCAAATGAGTTCAACAAGGTTCAATCGTGTTATCGAAGTTATTTTACTGGTATTACTTCGACAAATCAAGTAAAATCTTACCCGTATGACTTGCGATCCTCGATATGATCGGCTGCCTCCAGGTCTTTCTTGGCGGTAATGTTGCTAGCAATGACTTGCTTCACCAGTTTCCTTGTTTCGACATCCGTATATACCTCGACAATGTAGAGAAATAGCTTGCCTACGCAGGTCGTTCCGGTCGATACCCAAAATACGGCAAACATGCGGCCGAATGTGCTTTGGAAGCTCTCGTCTCCGAAGCCTGTGGTTGACATGGTGGTAATTGCGCAGTAGATGCAATCGAAAAAGTCCATTCCTTCGACGGTGAGCAGAACAAAGATCCCGAGGACGAAATGCCCGCCCATAACTGTCAACGATTTCTTGACCTTATTGTAGTCTATTTTGAGGTTGTCGATCTCCTTAAGGGCCTCGACTGGACCGATTTTTTGAACTGTGCTCATGGCGTTAACCATCACCATTTGTTGCTTCACGACCAAGTACTTTGAGGCTATCTTCACCGCTATTCCGAACAGAAACATCCCGACGGTTACGAAAATGCTGGATAGTATTTGCGCATCGAAAGAATGAGGAACGAGGTCTCCATAACCGACCGTGGTCATTGTGGTAACACAATAGTAAAGTGAATCGACAAAACCGTTTGTTTTATGTCCTCTAATGTCGTCCTCCATTGCATAAAATGTTATACTTCCACTGGTAAAGTAGACACCGAAGTATATGCCGAGCAGCTTTAGATCAGGGATCTCAGACCGGAAAGTATCCGGAGGAACACATTTCGCAACTACCGAAGTAGTTTTGCAGCCCCGAAAGCTTCTTTTCTTGGGAGCATCGTTGGAAGTCATCGAATCGATCAAGTAGAAGTGATCAAACATTAAGATTACCTCCGACAATCATTAGAGCATACGATATTCATAGTTATAAACTCATTGAAATCACATGTAAAATTACCAGTAAATTAAAATACAGCTCGAAAAGAAGACCTCGGTACGTTCAACCGAGACAGAAGCGACTAACCGGAGAAAGCAAGTTTGCAATCCGATATGATACGCTTATAACTAGAGGGAAATTTGGTTCCAAATGCATTGGAAAGTCCCTGGAAGATCCATGTTGATGTCGTTTTGTGTTGTAAGGAACTTTGGTTATGGGAAATTTTGCATGCACATCCAAAATGAGAAATTTCAATTGCTGGGTAACTCGATTCAATTTCATTGAAGTGATTCATGGAAATATCAATTCTTTATGCAGTAAATGTTTTACACTTGATGAATGTCTCCCAAGTGCAGAAGATATTAGCCAGAAATGGACTCTCTCAGAATTGCTCCAGTTATGTTTTCGAAGTCTGAATCCGAAAATCGAAACATGACTTGTTATATACATTTGAGGGCATGGAATAGCTTGCCATTCAAGTTTGAAAACTTGTGTTTATTGCTCTTTTGCTTGCATAACAAGCTTTCCATTTGCACCAGAACCAGGTAACTGGTAAAAAGGCAAGCAATTCATACGCGAAATACATTCATCCATGTGGAGAGTCTGATAACAAGCATCTTCTGGTTCCTAGCAGCTCTGTAAATTCATATATTACCATTGACAAAGAGAAGTTCCATTCAATTTGATGAAGACCGAGTGCTCGATAACTCTAATCACCGATCCATAAACGATTAAAAGGTCCATATTACAGGTTTAGAGGATAGCTGTAAGATCATTCACCTAATTCCTCCAAATCCGACAGATGCTAGGCTGATACCAAGTTACTAACCATTCATAACATGTGATGTTACAGCGGGTTCCTAGTTTCTCTGGATTGAGCTTCGGTTATATCAGATACTATCAACGTTCCGGACTGGTCGACATCTAGAGTAGAGCTTCGAATTCCTCCAAGAAAAGTGAAATATCATTTTGGCAAATCTTGCCCAATGCCCAGTTCTTCAAGTTTGAATAGAACAAACTCAGCAGCTCTGCAAAAATTAAGCAAAGAAAACAAGAAGATTTCAATTAAACTGATAAAAAGAAAGCATTCAATTTAATAATCTGCAAATCTTTACCCAACGACTCCATCATCATCGATACCGGCAGGCCAGCCTCCAAATCTATGGTTGTTGTTTTGCGAGCAGGAACCCATTTCACCAGCACTCTTTGTCTGTTCTCTGTATTTACCTCGGCAACGTAGAGAAAAAACTGAGCCAAGCAAACAGTGCTAGTTAATATCCATAACACGGCAAAAATACGACCACCGGTGGTCGAAAAGCTTTTCTCTCCATATTCCAAGGTTGTTACTGTGGAACAAACGCAGTAAAACGCATCCACAAGGTCTAAATTCTAACCTTTAAACAGGAAGAAGGTCCTGGTTAATATAAGCACTAGAAGAAGGGTCAATGTTGTATAAAACTTGTGTTTCACCCTTTTAGTCTCAATCTCCTTTAGAACCTCAGATTCAGCAACTCTTTGGTACATATTCAAGTCTTTAACCACCAATATTTCTTGCTTCTCCATCAAGTAATCCGCAGCTTTGCTAAGCAAAAGCCCGATTAGAGCCATTCCTGTGAAGACGAAAGCACAGGGTAGCAGTTTCGTGAGGTCGCTGTTAGGAACAAGGTCTCCATGTCCAACATTGGTCATTGTAACAACACACAAATAAACAGCATTAAGAATTCCATTAGTTTTTTCTCCTCTGATTTGGTTAGAAGCAAATGGTGCCTAAACCTAAGTATAATGTCAAAACTTGCAGGGCTACCTTCGTAAGACTCCAGTTAAGTCTCCCGAAAATGGACTCGGAACGTGGAAGTGCTCCGTCTCGATTAGTATCACTAGGACGAAAAACTGCTAAAGGAGCACTTTGAACATGTCGGAGCTGTCTTCTCTTCTTCGGTCCATCCCCATCACTCTTTCGACCCTTCGGAGTCGCTAATCCTGATAGCATACACTGTTTTGCATCATTGCAGGCCATTTGGAAGATTCAGCAGACATAAATCACTTCCAGGAACCCTGCAATTTTCAGCAAATTAGACTTGAAAGAAATCAAACTGATATAGATGACATTTTTCTGTCATTACAAAGGACTTTCGCTGAATTTTTTTATTTAACTATTAGTATCCGATCTATTGATATTTCTTTCGGTTATAAACAAATCCATCTCAGTTCAATTAATGTTCTTGAACCAAATCCGAAATCCCACTCTCTAAATCCCTTTAACACTGATCACTAAAGCATCCCAAGAGCAAAGATCCAAAGCAGATATCAGTTCACTGTTGATTGCTTTGTCGTTTTTGTCACCACATTGTTAGCTAAATCTCAGCATATGGCATTGATTGCGATGTGGGAAGGCTCAGGTATAATATTACAAAATTTGGAGGCATGTGGCATGGTAATAAATAATGTAATACCACCTTGTGAACATAAATTAAATTAAAATAAGTATTAATTTTTAAATATTTTTTGAATATTTTTTAAATATTATGAAATGTTATCCGTTTATTAAACGCCTTTTAAAATTTATTAAATTATAGTTGTACATGCGTTACATATTAATAAAACAATAAATATTTTCATATCGTATTTTTTTCAATTGTAAATGGTCATTAAAAATACAAGGTAGTATTTGTATACAAATATTCTTAATTTATTGACAATATATATTATGTAAACGTAGTTATTTGAATCTAAACTGAAAATAATATTTTTTTTATTTTCTTATTAATTATTTATTTATTTAACATATATGGTTAAACTACATTTAAAAAAATAATTTATTATATTTATAAATTAATAGAGACTTAAAAAAATTAAATATGATATTTCAATTTAAATTAATGAAAATTTTAATATTTTGAAGTAAAATATTTAATTTTCAAATGTACACTACTAGAATATCACATGAGAAATTAAATGAATTCTTGATATAATACAGCTAGTAGACTTTAATCTGCATCTTTTTATATAAATACTCCGAGTTTAAAACTTCTCAAAAAAACAATGGAGGGAATTCGATCAAGCACTTGCTCTAGAGATCTGTTGAGGAAAATCAAAGGTTTGGTTAATGAAATCTTCAATGAAATTATCGTATTTTGAACTGCTTTAATTTTCTTCTTTCTTCTGGTTAACTTCCTCTGAAAAATCAAAATCTTCTTTCCGCGTTTGCAGAGTTCACGCTGTCGATTTGGAGGATTTGAGCAGAGGTCGATCTCCGTTGATCTTCATCCAACGATTCAGAATCTACTTCACCAATTCTGATTCAAATTGGTTTGGGATAAATTTTGCGCTCCTCCCCCCTGAATTTATATTTTCTTTTATTCTCTTTTTATACTGGCATATCTAATTTTAATCTGTGATTTAGTGACAATGTTTTTGAATTATAATGCTCCTTTTAATTTTGAATTTTTCTTCTTAAGAAAAAAAAAAGAGGAAAAAAATGAATGTTGAATACATTGTTATTACTGTGCTGAATACAGCAGTTGCAGCTCTAATATGCCCAATGGACATGAAATTCTTACATTTCAAAAGGAAAGTCATGTCCATAGAATTGGTAATTAAACTAAAAAAAATACTTAAATTAAGATTACATGAATTTTTGTTTACATTTGAAACTCAGGTGGAAGAACTTCATTGGTTGATTTTAATGTTTTCCAGATGTCTTATTGAGGGTGTTACTGATAGTTCAGCAACTTCTTCAAGAAAGCAAGCATGCTTCAAAGAGAGATATATATTACATGCATCCATTAGTATTTTCAGGTCTAGTTTCATTACAGTGTTGAAAGATTTGCTTGTTAGAATCAGAGGACGGTGACTTGTTTATACAGTGTGTTACTTTTATACTGTTTTTGGTCACAATATGCTCCATTCTATTGATCTGCGGCAGTGATATTAATAAAGCTTGAAATGCTGTTTAGATCAACTTGTGTCATTTAATGATTTTCATGAACTTTTTTGGTTTTTTGTTCATGTTTTGTGATGCAGATCATATTGTTGTAGACAGAGCAATTAATGACATATGCATACTTCTGCAATGCAGTCGGCACAATCTAAATGTGGTTAGTAACCTATACTGCTAATGAGGAATGGTGGTGTGGGTAGAACATATAATAGAAGTTCAAAAGAGACATTAAACTTTTAATCCCATGTATCACATTCCAGAATTCTGTTTCTTCTGTTTGTTTTTGTTTACAAAGATAAAGGGAGTTGAGACTTTAGAGTTATCAAAAGTTGTGAGTAGAAATCTACTCAATTCGAGACGTTTGACACATATTCTTTTGGCAGGTTTCTGTTGGAAATGGGCGAGGAAGACTGAAGAAACTAAAACATATTTCTGGCAAATTTGTCTTCAAATAATGCATTTCAAGTTCTTTAGTCATTCGTATTCTGTATGTTATTAATTGGTAAATGTTTTACATTTTTCATTCATAGCTCTCGGCATGTCAAACATGAGTTGTTTAAACCTTAAGATTTGAGAACTTAATGAAGTTATCTTCAACCGAATGGACCGTTCTTGTACATTTGTTTGTAAGAATTTGAGGTAAACTTGTGACAGTGAGTTGCAGTGAATTGAGATCTATCTGTTTATACCTACTATAGGTTGGTGATGGGATGGTTAAGATTATTTGAAGCAGGACGGAAGTTTGATTGCATAAATAGCCCCAACACTGTAAGAATGGGAGAACTGTGTCTCTAAGCTAGCGGCATCATAGTCTAAACATGTCAATATATAAATATCTAATTCATGTTTCATATCCAAATGCAGGCCCACACAATCCCTGTTCTTGTTGAGGATGTTAAAGGTGTGTTAAGAAAAAGATAATATCAATAAAGGTCACATATGAGCTCAGATGAACATCGTCAGATTTAAGCCTACCTTGGTTATTACGTGCAGACTTTGTAAGCGTTTCCCACTACATACTTGTTGTAGAGAAAGAATCAGGTAAACTCTTTGTTTTCAATAATAATGTTGTAGTTAAGATGAATGGTCAAACTATTTGTAGATTAAATCTTCATTTGTTGAGTGATTGGCATAAATGAAGTCTTCCAGCGATTAGCAAATGACAAGTTTTGCAGCAAAAATCGTTGCATTGTCATCACAGAAAGTTCAGACTTGGCTCACACCACCTTTATTTAAATTGTTTAATATTTTTCTTAATTCTTATTAAAAATATTTCTTGTTCAGGGAAGAGGCTATCCAGATGTTCCCACAAGAAGGTGAAGCAAAGACTAAATTAGTAATAGTGATAACAATAATACTAATAATTTCCCAAGTATTTAGAAGGACATTTTGAGAGTCCTTTGTGTGGCAATCTATGTCAGTCTGATGCTGCAGGATCAGTCCATCTTTCTGCCTCTATTAATTACTGGACATGTTACTCTTCAGGGTTTTGCAACTACTTGTTGACAAGTTCTTTCTTCCTGTCTATTGCCTGGTTGATTGTGACCCGTACGGCTTTGACATCCTGGCTACATAAAGGTTTGTTTCTATGGTATGTTTTTTCACCTGTTGGTGTCCTAGAGTTTATACTCAGGCATCACACAAGTGGATTAACTTTCATTCATATCAGCATTATGACATGAACCCTTTCTTATGGAATCTGCTGCTTAGCAAATGGCGTATGATGCCAAATTTCTACGAGTCCCACAGATCCAATGGCTCGGAGCTTTTCCTTCAGATTCTGAGAACTTCAACCTTCCTCAACAATGTCTCTTGCCTTTGACAATAGAAGGTGATACAGTAAAGATCAGTGGCTGCCACCGGCACCCTCATAATTCCTGTAACACCCCAATCTCATATCGAGAAATTTTGAGAATATGCTATGATACAAAATAACAGAAAAGAGTAAGACTTCCGAATCAAAAACAGAATATCTTGCAGGTTTGGTACGGGTCTCCATAAAGGGCACCAAAACTAACCTTGCGAGGTATTGTGGGATTGGGGTGTTACAATAACATGTTTTGAGTTTATTGTTCCTTTATTTTTTCCCTAGTTTGTTTAGAGATTCCAGTATTTCCTGACTGATAGATAAGAGGAGAACTGAAGCCATGTTACAGAGATGCTACCTTCACCAAGAAGAGCCAGATTGGAGGTAAAATTTCCTAACATTCACTTAAATTTTTTATGTATGATTTCTAATTGAATCGTTAAATTAAGAAGTACTGGGTTCTTGCATGTTGAAGATCGGAACTAGAGTTGATACTGCAAAGAGGAACCAAATTCGAGATCGAAGCATTGTCAGTTCATTCGCTTACCTTCTTGGCTGAGGTCTACATTCCATGTAAGATTCAAGAAATAACATCTATTTGTCACATTTGATAATCTGCAACTACATCTATTCAAGTTAAATGTTGAAAATATAAATCGTTTGTTTTAATTTAAGTTCATTTTCAATAGAGAATTGTGCATCGTATACCCTAAAATTTTCAATTCATTCAATTTAAAATTTGCAGCTAATTTTAGGTCCTCAAAATCATTGACAATGGTTGGTGACTTTGATAAAATCATAGATAACTGCATACAACTTTTAAATAGAAAAAATCCTTTGAACAATATAAGATGATTTTGACAAAATTGTAAAGATTGAAGATGACTTTATCATTTACTATATATTTTAACTTATTTTTCTAAATAATTTCTAGCTTGTCCTAAAAGGTTAATTTTCTTTATTTCACATTATTTCTCTAGAAAACCTTTTGTATGTTAAAAAAATCTCTTTTCTTTTTGACTTATACTCTGATTCATCGTGCAAGAAATACTAGCTTTTAAAAAAAAAAAAAAACTTTTTTAGGGTTTGACCTTGCTGATAAACACACGTTAAAGGGAGAGCAAGCGGAGTGAATAAAGGCACATAGAGTGGGAAAAGCAAGACATTTGCTTCAAGTAACTCCAACCACATGAGCGTATCTGTATGACGATTCGTAGTTGAGTGAAGAAAGTAAACAAATCATACTCATTTTAGGTTGCTAAAATTCAGATGCCAGAGATCAAATGCATGCATGTATACCCGAAAAAGATGCCATAAATTCTTCTCTTTTCTGCATCCCTTTTCCCAAGATTTTTTTTTATGATTTGTGCTAGAAAAACCAACTTTCTTTATCTGTTTTATTAGCATTCTGGTTTGAATATTAAAAAGTTTGGTGTATTTCCGTCGGTGTTTAAACAGAGAAGCTAACTGGTTTAGGCAGTGTACGGGATTGGAAATTGCTACAAATGATTCCATTAATGGGTTATTCAGGTTAGTCTTGCAAGTTTTCTATTTGAGCAATAGAAATGGGCAAGTTTTAGGCCCATCTGATTTTGATCCAGACCTTGACTTGAGTTTAAATATAATTTTACTTGTCTCGAATTAATTCAAATTTAATTAAAGATTTGATTTTAACTCAATTCGATTTAAAATGTTTTCTATATATATATATATAAAGTAGGAAAAATAATATCGACAAGATTGATTCAAGTGGTAAGCAGTTTGATATCGTTTAAGCAATGTCTCGAGTTCGAGTCATTGTGTATGCAAAAAATCCCTTTTAGGAGATTCACCCACCAAAGTCAGATGTGCGACGCGAGTTAGTCCGGATTAGTCAAGGTAAAACCGTGGAACGGGGAGGACAACTAAAAAAAAGTAGGAAAAATAGTTAGAGGATCATTTTATAATTTTTAATAGTTGAGGGACTTAATAAAATAATACCTTAAAGTTGGAGGTACATTTGAGTACTTTACTCTTAAAAATAGTACTAATTTACTTAAGTTAGTAACATACAGGCTTAAATGCACAATTACCTCATAAACTATATCGTTTATACTTAGTTGCCTTTTAAAGTATTTTTCATAAACTATATCGTTTATACTTAGTTGCCTTTTAAAGTATTTTTTGAGACGTTTTGTCCTCTAAAGCTTAAATTATTATCTCATCTGCCCCGAATTGTTAACTTCTTTAAAAAAAAACCAAAGTAAATTTTATTTAAATCCCCTGATTCTATAACTTGTACTTATTCTTTAATTAAAATCTAATTGGTAATATATAAATTAGAGTTTGTTTCACAAAAGAATGGTCATGAGATACTCTAACTTTTCATGTGATAGTCATCAGGGGGCAAATGGGGACCAACAGTTCCCTATTCAATGCACCATGCTGGCATTAATGTTGTCCAACTCTACAAGGAACAAACCAGCCACTACTTATTAACATAATCCTCTTTTTATGCAATTAGGGCATGATTCCTTGTTAATTTCGTATCTCTTAATTAGATTTCGATGTATGTAATAGTATGCCATTATATTTTCAAAGAAATAGAGTTTAATTTTTTAATTAATCACTGATATTCGATCTGTACTGTAGAGGCGAGGGCTACCTTCCCAACCCAATTTGTTCTATTTACAAACGTCAGGGTTCGAACCTCTAACTTTACTTAAAGAATCTAGTGTCTCATTCTACTAGACCAACGATTGTTGGTTTAGTTTAAATCTTAAAACAATATTAACTCATATATTATTTTATAATCTATTTAAAAAAAATTAATCCTAAAATTTAATAAGTACTGCTTAAGTTAAGATTGAAATTCTAAAATTAATAGAAATATAAATAGAAAAGTAAAATTGTTTGATTTGGGTGTGTGTTAATCAATGAAAAAAATAGAAATATAAAAGTTAATCTTTGACCTTTGAAAGTAAAGAACGAAGTTTAAATTCTTCTAATTCGTATTTTTTTTTAATTTTTTTAATTTCTCAATTCTAAGATTTTGACTTTTTGGATTAACAAACGTATCACGCTTAATTTGGGCTAACTCATATATCATTTGCTTTTGACTTTGTTGTATAGCAAACAAATGTGGAAAATTAGAGAACTGAAAGTCATACCAATTACCTTTTCACACCCGCGTATCATTTTATTTTGATTGGTTAGTTTATTCCATATTTATTTTATGATTTATACTACAATTAAGGGTAAATTACACGCCAGTATCTAAATTATCAGTTTTGATTCATTTTAGTATTTAAATTTTTTATTTTTTAAAAATAATATCTAAAATTTAATTTTTGTTTCATTTTAATACCCCTTCCTTAAAAATTTTAGTTTTTTATTTCATTTTAGTACCTCGTTCAAAATTTAACGTTAAGTTTTGAAAGTCTAGGTACTGAAATGGACCAAAACCAATAATTTAGGTAGTAAACGTGTAAGGTTTCTAATGACTACGTACTAAAATGAAATGAAAACTAAACGTTATGCATGAATTTGAAAAAAAAATGAAAGTTTAGATATTAAAACAGACAAAAACTAATAGTTTAAGAATTAAATACGTAATTTATCCTACAATTAATGATTTAATCTATTCGAGTCGAAACTAAATAATAATAAATTTGAATTTGATTTAAAGCATAAGTTCTTATGTTAAAAATAATGATAATTAAGCACAAACCAACTTAACTTAATGATTAAAGAAATCGTTGATAATTTTAAAGGTCACGAGTTCGATTACTAATAAATACTATTTTGTAATCACTTTAACTTAATAAAAAATAATAGTAATTGATGAGTTAATTTTTTTTTATGAAGATGAAGTTGAAGAACGGAGCTAATGGGAAAGCCCCACGTTGTCCTAAGTGTAGTAATGGCAGGAAAAACGTGTTATTCAGAGGGCCCATGGACCTAAAAGGCCTATCAAAACGAGTGATGGACTCAGTAGCCCCAATTTGCAAAGCTACATAAATATTGTTTATTTAATTTTTCCGATTTTTTTAAAATAATTAATTTAGCTTCTCTTCTCCTACCATTGTACTGGTTTTTCATCTATCATCAGCAGCTGCATGCCAAACCTCTGCAACTCCCAAACTACCCATCAAAATGTCCTTTCTTGTCTCTCTCTTTTCTCCGTTTTTCGCTTCATCTTTTCTCATCTCTCTTTGCCTGCGCTTTCTCTTGTTCCTCTCATCAAAGCAGAGACAGAGTCCCCAGCTTTCTCCTCTTTGCTGAACCCCTTGAGGAAACCTGAATTTTCCCCAAAGGATCCTTTGTTTTGGTGCTGAATACTGCATGTTTAGGTGTAAAGGAAAGTGCCCATTTCCCTTTTTTCCTTGATGATTCTCTTGGTTCAGTCGGTCGAAGCCATATGTTGGCCCCTTTTGGTTATTTCGAGTTTGGGGTTTAGTTTTCTGGAGCTTATCTCTGATCTACTAGCAGATCTTCAAAACTTTGCTCTTTCTGGGTTCTGGCCAGCTTTTCCTAATTCCCCTCTCTCGTTTGGTACAATTCTTTGAGGATTATGCTGGGGATTCATGGTGGCATCTTTGGGGGTGGGTTAGTGTATGATAGTTGTAGCTTTAATTGAATACAAAAAAAGCTTCTCTGTTGTTCATTTTGATGGTGGCCAAGTCAGCTGCATATTTTCTGTGAATCTACTGCGGTGTAGTTCTGATCTTAAGATTATTAGAGAGTCAAATATTTAGTTTCTGTGAATTTTAGTCTGTTCTTGTTCTTCTTTCCCCCCAATCATTCCACTTTTTGACTTTGTTTTAGAGGGATCGCTTTTAGAGCAAAAGCTTGTTGCCATATTCAAGCTTTTTTTTCTGTATGGTTTTATGGTGGTGGTCTTATTGGCAGCTAATTTACCTTTGTTAGAACCCTTTTTTGTCTAATTTTATTGGGCACCTTTGGCTATGTGAATAGGTAGACAATTATATTCTGTATTATAAATCTCCTCTTGGTGCTTTATGTCAAAATGTCTGGAAATAGCCGTTGTTTCGTCGAGTGGAAGGAGGAATTTGTTTCACAGGAGCGCGGTAATCGTGTGGTTCACTATTTTCTGAAGGATTCCTCTGGGGAATCCATTCGTGCTGTTATTGGCACTGAGAGGAGTGCTAGGCACATGTTTTACACTGTTGCTGAGGAGTTTGTGATAGCCTATGGCGCTGAGCATTCGATTCATGCTGGTTTCAAATGGAGGTCAAGAAGAGAGGTTGTGGATTGGCTTACATCCATGCTCTCAAAGCAGCACCTCGAGGGAGATCGATCTAGTATGTATTGAACCCTTTTTGGGCTACGGATTCTGTTAGTTTCTTGACGTCAAAAGATGATAAATCACAATGGAATGCATAACTCACAATGTACTTGTTAATTAGACCTTGCAAAAGTAGTTTAGGATTCAGAACAAAACTGAACTTTGTTTTCAGGCATAAGAAAAGCGTAATGGTTAAGCTTGTTCCTACCATTTATGGTTGAAGCAATAAAGCAGACCAAGTCATTAATCTTTAGAGTCTATGTCTCCTTGGAAAGAAAACAATATGCTGAATATCTCTGAAAATAACAGTTTTATATCTTCAATGACAGAGTCTCCAAAACATGACACATCTCCTGATTGTGCAATGCTTGAGGTTAGTGCTCGGAAGGCCCTAGTGCAGAGGGATATGGTATATCTTCTTGATTTCCTATTAGTTCATTTCCTTATTCTTTCTTTGATTTTCTCTGACACCGATTCCTGTATTACAGAGCCATTTTTCTAGAAATTTGAATGGACAAAGTTCAGATATTGTATGGTCAGGCTCTGCATGGACATGTGGCAAACATCTCAAACATTTCCCAGCATTTTGCCGCAGTGGAACCACAATAGCGGTAAGTATCAACATACAAAGAAAAAGAAAGGTGGCAAGGATTTGGGATGCTGGATTCCCATAAATCTAATTAAAAGCATAGATCTACTTGGCTAAACTCTAATCACATGCCAACACTTGATCGTCTTTCATAATTTCAATTGGTAGATTGAGAAAATAATTGGTGCAATTGAATCAAATATCTACAGTTAGTGAAGTACTTCAATATAGTTAGTTGCATATGGACGTAATTAGTAATATGATGCCAGCTCATCGTTATGCAAGGAGACATAAACTTTTCTCTGATGTGTTTTAGCAATATCATTGATTCATTTCTCTTTGAGACCAGGCATGATGCTTTTGGCTGACTTTGTCATCTGTTTCTTTCATTGACTTGTTATATCTGCTGACATATTTCCTTTTCATTCTGATGCTCAGATTCAATCTTTTGTCTTTGTCATGGCTAAGGGAGAGAATCACTATCTTGCTTACTTGGAAGACATGTACGAGGACAAGCGTGGGCAGAAGAAGGTCAAAGTGAGGTGGTTTCACCATACTAAGGAAGTTAAGGGTGTCGTTCCTGTAAGGAATCCTCACCCCAAAGAGGTTTTCATCACTCCTTATTCACAAGTCATTAGTGCAGAATGTGTTGATGGTCTTGCAAGTGTCTTAACTCGTGAACACTATGAGAAATGTGCAGCTGTTTTCCCTGATGCTTTATTAGCTAGAGCTCATGTATGCTCTAGGCAGTTCAGAAGTAATAAAGTGAAGCAGTTTGATTTGAGTAAATTACGTGGCTATTTTGATCAACCGATTTTCTCTTGTTTAAGTTCCACTTTGTCCTCAGAGCCTGACACCATGAGCCATGGCCTAAATGAAGAAGATGATGAAGAACTAAGTGCCGGTTTAAATGTAAAGCTGGGAAATAAGAGGTCCAGAACTATTAGAAGTAGTCAAAGGTTTGTGACAGATAATGCAGGAAACAGGATTTCTAGTAATCACTTGGTGTCTTATGAAGCTTCATGCAAGAAAATAAAATATGCTTTGTCCGGAAAGAGATTGCTCTCCCTCGAGCATTCTGCGAGTCAATATTGGCATGGGTCACTTTTCAAGGTTGATGAAAAGATAGAGTTGCTGTGCCAAGATAGTGGAATTCGAGGCTGCTGGTTCAGATGTACAGTTTTACAAGTATCAAAAAAACAGATGAAGGTGCAATATGATGATGTGCAGGATGAGGATGGATATGGTAATCTTGAGGTATGTTTTAGTCATTTTAAAACCTTGTATTGGTTTTATCTTCCCCATCAGTTGATCTCCATAGATAATATAGTATGTAAAGAACAAATTTTCATCACAAACATTGGTGATTCCAGTTCATGGTTTGACTTGTTTTACCCCTTTGCGTATCTGCAAAAGTGTGTGTATAGTTTAGTTATGCTAGAATTTACATTGGGTTCAGTTTTAATAAATCTTATTTTCTTTCCTCATAAATGTGTTTTTAGGAACGGATCCCAATTTGCAAGCTTGCTATGCCGGACAAACTTGGCATGAGGTACTCAGGCCGGCAAACAGTAAGACCTGCTCCTCCAAGCACTCAAAAAGAACTTGATCTGGAAATTGGGGTTGCTGTTGATGTATGGTGGAGCGATGGCTGGTGGGAAGGGGTTGTAACTGGGGTTAACAGCAGCGGTGATGACAATGTGCAGGTTTACGTTTCTGGTATGTTTATTTTGAACTATATATGTTGCATTTCTTTCTTGGCTATTGTGATCCTATTGTGTGCTCTTTTTCCCACATCAAATAATTATTCTTATGGTCTTAGGTGAAAATTTATTCCTGAACATATACAAAAAGAATATAAGGTTTTCCAGAGATTGGGATGGGGACCACTGGATTGACATTGAGGCCAGACCGGATATACTCTCTGTGATATCTGATGCCATTAGCCCAGACATGGACGCGAAAGTTTCCATGTCCACTACTCCTGTCATGGATGCAAAGCTTGATGGCGGCACAATTCCAGTTGAAGCTGTTGTTGCCAAAACTATTGCTGAAATGGAAAAGTCTGAGTTAGCTTTTCAGGACTGTTCTGATAACTTTGGAGAAGAAACTGGCAGTAAGGAGGTTGCATCATTGAACGACGGAAAGGATGGGGATGCTAGTGATGGGAAGAAGCCTCCACCATCAGAAAATGGAAAAATTGCTAATGCCAATAAACTAAACGGTGTGTATGGTTATAGTGAAAACAATACCAACACCAACAACAGCAATGATGATAAAAAAATTATAGGCGGAAAATGACATGGAGCAGAACTATGAAAGTAAGGAAATCATGGAAGTGAGAAACTAAAATGTCTCTGATGGGATGGATTCTTTTGTAATGGGGATGTTGGTACTAATGTCAACTAACATGAGACCAGTTTAAGTTCCGACCTTCTGTAAATAGTGATGCAGGCATAGCACGGAAGTCGTTGCCATTTGTTGTGTTTGACGTGGTGGCGCTGGTCAGTGTACAGAAACAAGGTTAGCATTTTTGTGGTTTTTGTTGTAGTAATTGTTTGTATCTGAAATAGGATTTCCACTTGAAGATCTTTGGTAAGGAGATCCTCTAAAATAGAGTTAGTTTCTTATGTTTTTAGTCATGGACTCTGCTTGTCTCTTTTAACACCAGATCTGCGTCCTCTTGTAATGAGAATTATCATATTTTGTCGACTTTGTTCTCGCTTACTGGTAAAGCCTATAAGCACTATTGCTTTCCATTGTAATGTTGTAGTAAATAAATATAACCATTAAAGAAAGGGCATATAGTGAAGAAATATAAACAGTTTGGTTTTACTATTACCGTCTTCCATTCTAATGTGCTATACATACATTTCAAAGAATATACTAATAAAGCTGTTTAATTCAAGTTTTGTTAAGGTATGGGTGGGATGGCTTGGTCTAGTGAAGTTTGAGGGATTATAGTTTCAGCCATTGTTCTCCATATATAAATTTCATGTCCAGAAATGGTTTTGCTTCCTCAAAGTTTAATTTCTTTGACCATGGAACCCGCCCGGTTGTATTTGCTCCTCCTCCTCGGCATTGGTATTCCCTGAATAATACAGTCATTCATATGCAAAAAAAAAAAAATGAAGTATATATCAGGTTTCTGCATTCAACTCAGATGATAAAGCAATTTATCAAACCATTTTAGGAAGGGGGATTATACTTTTGCCTTGAAGGGTCGTTCCAGTCAGTCCATCCAGCAGGATTTATGATATTGTCAAAGTAACAGTTAGAATAGATGACTCTTGAATAATTTCCCCAAGCTCTTCCCAAGTAAATCCTACCAGTTCCATTGATTTTGCAGTTTGCAATTAAAACCCTGTATCATCACGGTGAGCCGCAATTGCACCATTCCTCACCGCAGTGGACTTGATCCCACAATCCTGTTTCAAAGAATCTAGCCATGCTTATCATAGTTATCAATGAATACATGGATCTCGAAAGCAAAGTAAATATTTTACTTGATATAGAGATATCGATTTACCGAAGATGAAGTCAACCTGACTCGAATGTGGGACTGGTAGAAGTAATGTGATCCGGTTTCATCCAAGTGTCCTGTGTCCCAACAACCTTGACCTTGTAGAACATTGCCGTGTCACCTGAAAGCTTGCATTCCAGGTTCTACAGGAGTTTGTATTACAGTATTCTGCAACACAAGTAATCGGATAATGCCCAAAACGAGTTGATCTATAAGTTGAAATGAGCTTTTTCACTGATTTTTAGGAATCAAAAGAGAATGATAATCACCTCAAATGTGATATCAGTTGCACAAAAGTAATCGGATAAAACGGTGACAGATGCTGATCTGTAAGTTCCCAGGCTAATTCCATTGTTATCTTTATCGGATGCTTTGTCGCCCCAAGAAATTATGGTGTTGGACATTTGACCGGCGTTCCCAACAAATGATATATATGGCTTGATCTTCGGGACAGTTACTTTCTCCCTGCAAAAATGATCAAAATTAGCTGAAAAAAAGTGACAGAACAGAGGAGAACAGGCATTCCCATGAATGTCAACTGTCGATGCAGGCTGTCAGTTATACATACAAGTAAGTTCCAGGAAGAATAAAAATCTTAACTCTCCTCATATTATTCTCCGGAACCATATCTATTGCTCCTTGAACTGTCACGGAATCCGCTCCACCATTCTTGTTAACCACGATAACTCGGCTTCGATTACGATTAACCCTCGAATCACTCAACTTTATTTGATGTTCATCCACTTCTATGTCATCCCAACCGATGAATTTCTTCACATGCACTTCATTAGTCATCGAAAAACCGACTCGATAACTGAAAGCAACCACAACCATAACAAGGAGAAACAGCAGCCGTAGACCATAGCTTAAGATTCTGTCAAAACTTTGGCAATCGAAAAAACAGAAACCGAGACGATCCCATGTTTTGTTCAGTGACTAGACTTTATATTGTCGTTGAAGTGCAGGAGTTTACATACACAGTGTCTGAAGTTGAAAGAATGTGAAAGAGGTGAGAGTAATAAATAAAAGGAGCGTAAAGGAGAGAGTGTGTACTAACCAGTAGCAAGAAGATTAAAGCTTGCAAGAATCATTTGAAGAACCGAAATAAAATTTAAATTTGATCTTAATAGAACAAAGTACAAAGAGAGGGGTTGACAGCTGTAAACAATGGCAAAAAAAACAATTCAGAATCAAGAAGGATGTTCATGAGAGATTTCTGCATGGCCAAAATGAAAAGGGAAAAAAAACCAGTTAAAAAAGGAGTCTTTAAAATTAGTTAATTGGGAGTTTGTCGTTTGAACATGGGGATGGTGGTTTCTTTGATGAGTAGTTGATAGTAACTGTGAAGCGAAAAACAGCAGTTTTATGCATCATTTAGCCGAGAAGGAAAACACTAATGATATATAAAGCAGCCTCTTTTCATGATGAGAGTTCTTCAATTCCCATGATTCAAACTGATTAAATTAGTAGCATTGTTTTTTCCTTTGGCAAGCTGCTATAGGATTTGCACCTACTTAAATTTTCATACATACTAATTGGTTCAACTAGACGAGAGATTAAATAATATTAAAAGTGTGAATTTACATTATGAATAATATAAATTAAATTATAAAAAATATTACATTATTTAATTTGAATTAGGTTAAAGTACACAAATGGTCCTTCGACTATAGAGTACTGCTTTATTAAATCCCTCGACTATCAAAAGTTACAAAAAGATCATCCGACTATTAAAAGTTACAAAATGATTATCTGACTATTCATTATTTTCTAAACTCATCCTTTTATGTTAGAAAATTGACAGTTGTAACTTCCTTTCAACCACTTGATATCATAAAAGTTACAACTGCCAATTTTTCATCATAAAAGTATGAGTTAACGATAGCGATATCATAAAAGTTACAAAATGATATCAGTGAGAAAGTGGCAAGATCTTTCGGATAACACTGGTAGTTAACAATGGCGATATCATCGATCTCTTCCTTATTCTCCCCCACTTACTTTCAACCACTTGAAGCTCAGCAGCAACTCACTTGAACTTCCACAATCACCCACCAAGCTTTTTGCTGTCCCCCGAATCTTTGGAAGAGACACCCCAGGTTTGAAAATTTTCCGTCCTTTTAAGAAATTTTTAGAACTTTGAACTTTAGATTTAAGCCTTTGGTTTCTTAGAAATAATGGGAACAGAAAAGATAAGTCTTTTGTCTTAATGGGGTTGAGTTCTTTTGGTTCTGCAGGCAGGAAGTTCTGAGGTTCCCAGTTCTTCATAAGTTGCAGAAGCTGAAAAGGTACATTTCGAGCTGTTTTTGTGTTTTGTAAAACCTGTGCATGTTAGTTATGGAGAAAACCTGGTTATTTAGCATCTTGTTCGTTTTTATTGTGGCAGGCAGCGCCTAAGCAGAAGATAAGAATTATTAAGCTCAGGTCATACTGGGTGCCCTTGATCGAGGACTCTTGCAAGCAGATACTGGATGCAGCACGGACCACCAATGCGAAGACCATGGGTCCGGTGCCCTTACCGACCAAGAAGAGGATCTATTGTCACACCCCCACATTTTTTAATTTAAAAATTAAAAATTAATTTAGTTAATTTAGGGACTAAATTGCAAGTTTTCGAAGTTTGTAGCTCTGTTTTGAATTTGTAGGAAGTTCATAGACTTAATGCTGAATATTTCCCTTTTTGGTCGGTAGAGAAAATAAAATAAAATATGAAAGTGTGGCTAAGGGGCTTCAACCACTGTTCATCAGTATGACTACCATCACCCTACCATTTACGTTAAGTCACTATTTGTGATATGTTTAATTTAATATTACTTTTATCGTTTAAAACTTAGGTCATAACACCAAAAAAAAATCCTCAATTTCCTAAACCCCAAATCCCTAGTTATTCCTCGTTGCCTCTCCAATCCTCCACCGCCTGGCCGTCGTTCAATGCACTATCACCCTCATCCGATTTGTCATCGATCGACAACCAATACTCTTTTAACCTCGCTTCAAAAATCGACTCCGTTCGTCGTGGGAAGCTCGCCAAAGCATCGTTGAAACCCCCCGTCACCTCAGTTGTTCCTTGATTCTGGTCGCCTCGGTCATCGGCTTATCACACTGCCACTGTAGCTAGACTCACCGTCTCTGTGCGCTCGAAACCCAACTGGTGGATCGCGTAATCGTTGCCTTCTTCGCCGTTTGCTATAGGGGTAAGTTTTCGAATGATTTTCGGTGATTTTGGAGAATTTTTGTTGTGATTTTGGGTGGATATTGGATTAATTTGAGTGTGTAGATGAACCGAGAATGATCAGACCGTCAAAACGCCCCCTGTCGCCGTCGCACGCGCCTCCACATGTCGACAGTGCGCCTGGGGCTCCTCCGTAGGTCCAATCAGACCGCACCAAATCAAGCTGAGTTAACTCACTGAGTCAACCCGATTGAGTCAAACAAAGTCAACTCGTTGACTTTGACTGACTATTGACTTGACCGATGACTTTGACCAGTGTTGACTTTAACCAAAAAGTCAAATTTTTTAAAAAGACTTATTTTATGTTTAATGACGTCCCGAGTTCAAATCCGAAGTCCATTTTGTCAATTTCGAATCCGAAAGCCTTTAAATTGACCTTCAAACCCAAGCATACATATGTACTTAAGTTTTTTTTATTTAAGAATAATTAAATTAAGATTAATGACTGATCTAAGATATTGTTATTTGAAGGTACACGAGACTCCGCTGACTTTTCGACAGCTCGACTCAGCTCCTCTCGATCCTTTCGACCCCGCGAACCAGTGGTTACTCGTATGACCCATGAACCTTATGAATAATTAGATTAAAATTTCAATTATCATACGAAAGAAGAAAGAGGGTCGACCAATTATGAGCGATCCATCCCCTTTTCAGTCAATTGGTTGGAAGTATTTATAGTGGCCTTCGGAGTGTAAACTAATTGTAGAATCATCGTTGCTATTCGTGAGTCGGTTGGCTAGGTCGATCTAATTGTCAGACTTTGAATTCTGTTATGATACATCACGTGGGCTTGCCAAAAACATTGTTTATGCATAGTAATTTACTAAAAGTCTGTTTTAAGAGGATGTAGGCTAGTGGGAGAGGAAGAGGTTTCTGAAAGTCATTTGCGAAGGTATAACAAATTATTCTCTATAATATAACATAATATTATAAAATGACTTAGCCAGAAATTTGTAATTGAGATATAATGACTCTTTCTTGATTTATTTTGGCGTTTTCTAC